ACGATGACCCCTAAACCCTAAACCCTAAACCCTAAAACCCTAAACCCTAAACCCTAAACCCCTAAACCCCTAAACCCCTAAACCCCTAAACCCCTAAACCCTAAACCCTAAACCCTAAACCCTAAATCGAAAGAGCAGCAACCTTGGCCCTGGGCTAGGCGGCAGTAAGGAGAGAACCGAGAAGCCACGGAGAATGAATACCGAATCGACAATGTAGGGGCCTTCATAATCAGANNTTGGGGTATGTTATACTATAGTTATACTAGGGAACCCCCCCCACCCAATGGCATTGGTAAATACTTAGGCCCCTGTATTATCATGCAGGGCATTTACACATTGATGTGTTGAGGAACAAAACCCGGAGTTGCATAACATAGGGGCCTAAAGAATTACCTACACTCTTTTGGGGGCTCCTTTATTACAAGTATTAAACGGCCCAAAACCCTATTCTAATTATTTAGGCCCCTACGTCAGGTTGAAGAAGCCCAGGGGTCCTGTGGCACGTTGAAGTCCACCCTCATGAAGACCCGCTTTCCGGCGACATCCACATCGTTGATGCTGAGCTTGGCCGGCATTGTGCGTGAGCAAAGAAGAAGGACGGCGAGGACACAGGTCTCTTTGAGCCAAAGTGCTGCTTCTGCTCCTGCTTTTAGAGCTTCTCTCCATGCAGCTGGATGCGGGATTGGCGTGGAATTCGTGAGACCGCTCGCGTCTCTGTGAGGTTGGACTGAATTCAAACCTTAAGCCCTAAACCCTAACCCCTGAACCCTAAACCATGAACCCTAAACCCTAAACTCCTAAACCCTAAACACTCCCAAACCCTAAACCCTAAGCCCTAAACCCTAGACTCCGAAACCCGATACCCTATAAACTTTAAAGCCTATCGACGGCCTTGCAAGAGGGTTACGCAGCGCCCTGACCTCCCTGACCTGGCACCGCTGCCCTGGCTCAGACATAGCAGGAGCCTCACCCCAAGCAAAGGAAATCTGCAGACCCCGCATAATATAGGGGCCTTCATAATTAGAATAGGCTTTTAGGGGTTCCGTGTCATGATATAGTATGATCTACCCCAAACCCTATTCCAAATTATTAAGGCCCTGTATCAGGTTTAGGGTTTAGGGTTGAGTGATGACTCCATTATATGCTCATCGTCATGTCGGCTAGAGTCTTGGAATCCACAAGCACATAACTTTCTCACAGCAGATTGCTGGATGGTAGGCTGTGCGTCCGCTGACCGCGGGCAAGAATCGGTAGTCCAAGGTTGTCGAGGACCTTGTGGCAGCCTCAAAGGCACCTACTGATCAGCACTTCACGACTGGGTACGTCTCTCCGGCTCACCAGAACTTCCCCGGGATATGGCTGGAGGTTGCATCGCATTTGTTCGTGTGTGCCTTGAGAAGCTTGCGGCCCCTTGAAACAGAGGCAAGAAGAGCAAGAAGAAAACGATGGGTGCTCGGACGTCGTGAGTCTGCCTTATGCGCTCTCCGCATTCCGAGACCAATGTGGCACAAAGCTTTATGAACCAAGCGGTATCTTCAAGTTGACTTGCTCGTTGCTCAAGACAACCAAAATCTCACGACGTGCCGAAGGGCGAAACGATTTCTCGTTTCTGGATTGAAAATCGGGGCTCCTCAGTCGATGAGCTGAGTTCGCACAAGAGCGTGCGCGCTCAGCCTGCGCGACGATTCACAGGGAGCTTCTGAAGCTTTCATCCCTGAGCCCCGAAGCCTGTTCGTAACCTTCACATCCTTCCAAAAATGCTGCTTCTAGCAAGTCCGCGGTTTTGGTCCAAACATGTGCCCACACCACACTCAAGCCTCTGAATTCGTAGGAAGTCAGGTGGAACTGGTGTTGGCAGTGTAGCTTTTACAGGTGCTAATTCCTTGAAACCGAAGTATCTCGCGACTCGTGACTGTTGCCATTCTGCTTGTGCTTTTGCCCCATCATTTTGCTACACTGCTTTTCAACTTGGGTCATTATCGGTGCCAGTGATAAAGACGGTTACTGCTCCCTCGGGATGACACAGGCCCCTTGCAGTTTCTCAATGGTCCCGATCGCCTGCAGTTCCAGCTCGCATTGTAAGCACTTACCTCGGTGCAAATTTGAGGCAGATTGGATGTAGGCATTTACAGCTTGCTTTGATGTAGTATTGCGATTTGGAGAGCAGTCTGTAGCGCATCTTACATGAAGCTCATGTCCTGTCTGATGGCCGGTGCAATGAATGCACAAAAGGTGAGTCACGGGTTTGGGGCACACGCAATTCGGACACATGCGTTCGGATTGAGCAGCTTCTGCACGCGCTTCCACGTGCAAGTGTGCGAGAATACTTGACTGGCGATACAGGTCTGCCGCAAAGCAGTAAATCATGTGCTGTACGAATTAATTACAATCTCCCTGGGTCTTCGGCGCTTCTGGTGCACAAGTGTTGTGTGGTGGAAGAAAGGGCGAAGTAGGGTTTCGAACCCAAACTCTGGATCATGGGACTAGGGGAGGAGTGAAGACGTGGCACAAGGCAACCCTGAAGCAACAACGGCAACAGCACGATCTCCAGCAAAACGACGAAGACAGTCGGAAGAGCCTTTGGATCAGACTGATCGTGGTCGCTTGGCAAGGCAAGCTACCACCATTTCAAGGACAATATGCATCTACAGCGAAACCGCCGTGTACTGCTCAAACGATGTCTAGTGTTTTTGGCATTCCAGGTGATCCAAGCTGCTTTTCGTTGAGGGCCGCAACACCTGCGCACACAAAGCCACGGGCTTTGCTAGATGCTTTTACCAAAGCGGGGGTTTGCAACCAGGGTCAAGAGAGTTAGCGTGTCCGTTCGTTCACAGCAGTGGCCCCCGCTTGAATTGTGTGCATTTCTGCCTTCCAGATATGTTCACTGCAGCTTGTCGTTGCAGTGCAAGCGCAAACAGTACTGTAGACAACATGCTCTGTCTGATTGGCTGAACAGTCTAATTATGTCTACCCTTAAACCCATGACTCGTCACACACAACACAGAAACCATGCACACACCACACATGACGACCTGTAAGTGAGCAGAACTGGACACATGGTGTTACCAAAACCATCTAGAATCACGGGTAGGTATTCAGATGCAAGCTTGCATCGGGTCGCACCCGCATTCAGGGCGCCCTTCGCACAAACCAAGTCAGGAGATGCTTCGGCAAGGGTGAATTGGCACATGTCGCAGAGACGCCACCATCTGAATCCGAGGGCAATCTCTTCAAACATATGTGGATATGTTTTCGAGATACGCATATATGTACGTAACTGCTCCCAAGCCCCTGAAAGCTAAACGCTACGCCCGGCCTGGCAACTCCTTACCCTCAAGGAGCTCGAGAGAAGCGCCGCCGCCAGTGCTGCAGTGAGTGACCTGCACCAGGGTGATGATTCTTCTGCTTACGGGGCCTTTTTGGCCAGCCCTTTTCCAACTGAAGTCCCTACCGCTTACGGGCCTTTAGGGTTTAGGGGCTGGGGGCTTTAGGTGTTTTGGACTTTCGGTTGTTAGGGCTGGGGTTCTGGCGGTTTGGGGCTACGGATGTCCCAGTTGGAACCGGGAACCAAGCTGGATCACACTGGCTGTTGAAGAGGGCTACCTACCGAGAGAATTGGTACCGTAGCGTCCCAGCAAACGCGTCATATAATAGTATGTATTATGTATTGAAAGTTGCATTTTATGTGTAGCAAACCTATAGAAGGCCCGCCGGAAGATGTCGGCCTCTTGCACATGATACTCAAAGCAAACCTGAGTAAATCTGTAATTAACCACATACGCGTGCCAGCTCTATGCGCCTTCTTGTGCAGGTGTGTAGACACATGACAACACACCCACACAGTCACAAGTATAGTACAGCAACGTAGACTGGTACACAGCAGAAATAGTCTGGACTAGCCTTGTCCTCTGTGCCGTACTTCTTGCATGCAGTGGCCGTGTCGCCACCGCCGATGACCTCTTGTCGGTGTGCTTCGGGCTTCTGATTCGGGGTTTTCAGTGCAAGGGTTAGATAATGTATGGTAGACTTGCAAACCGAAGATCCAGGATGGAGTGTCAAGAGCTCTCGACGGCTTCGAAGACCCAATAACACCCTTGCGCTAAGTTGGAGTCCGTCGTACCGTTGATCCTCATGAGAAGTTTTGCAAGAAGTTACACAGACCCCCGATGTCGCTCCATTTTCAGAGGCAGACCAGGCGTCAAGGGAGAAAAAATTTGGAATCCCGTAACGAAAGGCTGCACCCACCTGAACGCAGCAATGCCTATGAAACTCGAAAAGCCCAGAAACGCCGCAGGATTTGTGTTTCATTGTCCGTACGCCTAGGCACTTGTCTGGTACGATCTAAGAATCTGGTGTTTGTGCTGGTGCTCCGCTGTCGGGCGCACGGGCCTTGATATCAAAAGCAAAAACATCCAATTCTTCTGCCTGCAGCCAAGTGTCAGTAATCACACCTGCGCCGGTTGCCTCGACCACTGCGTCCATGAGCTTCTTTGTGCCTAAGACATTGTTTAAAAGGAAAGCGGTCAAGTATGTGCATATGGGTGTTATCCGATACTCCTTCTCCCAGAAACAACCCCTCCC